AAGAAGGAACGAAGAAAGAAGGGTTTACCAATTACCATTAATTGGTTAATTCATTTTCTGCATCCTATCCAAATCATCTTTATAATTTGAAGTTTCACTGTTTAATCATATGGAAAATAAATAAATAGTACTACCTCCAATTCTTAGTATAAGAGTAGTTGATTAATTAGAGTAGATTAAAAAAATTAATTAAACTAATTATTTATAATAAATAGATCTTGTATTCCCTAAAATACTTTTGCTAATCGCGTATATTGATTAGGATTACTATTTGATAGATATTTAATATGTGCAACTATTGTATGGACTATTTTGTAAAAAATAGATAAATATAAAAGATAAATAAATTGAGTCTTATATTTAGGATCAGATTACAAATCAAACTAGTTCTTACGTTAAGCAATGAATGTAATATTAATAATAACAATTATGCACGTGTGTTAAGGTGTGGATAACAATATTGTTTTCCTAAAAATATCTAACATAATCATAATCTGAATTCCTAATGATATATCCTCAATTTTATCGCCATCCTCGTTTAAATATTAAACTAATTATAGAATTTTATTTTCTTAAAAAATATATCTCTTAAGATTTTTATCTTTGAATGCACTCATCAAAGCGAATTTGTAACATCTGAATTAATTCACCCTTTTTAATGCTATCTTATTCATCCAGTCATGTTAATTTCAAGAATCAAATTAATTTTGATAGAATATGCAAAGATTTAACAGCAGCATAATATAATAAATAATAATACCGGCGAAGCCCACGTTTCATGGATACCTTCAGGCCTTCACCTTTCGCGATCGCAATTTCCACAGGATAGTTAAATATTTCTAGATTCCACGTCAGAGGTGACTAACTTTTCAATGCATTTGATTATCCAATTGGGATCGGAGTTAAGACAAAACACAGTACAAGAATATCTTTAAACCAATGGAAGGAAACGGAGATGCATTATAAAATGAATATAAAATATAGTTTGAAGTTCCAACCTCCGACCTATTTAAAATACATTTCTTTAGGAGCCAATCAACATTTATGTTTGGTTGTTAAATTAATTCCCGCGGAAAGCCAGAAAGCAACAATTAATCATATTTTTCACAGGAGGCGCAGCACAGCTGTTGCCCGGAAAGCGCCATTTAAGCTTAAGAAAAGTAGGAGGTCAAATCCTTGTGATGTCTTCAATGGCACATGTAACGTAAGCTATTTGGTAAAAATGTAAAATATTGGATGAACAGTGGGGTCGCCTTTGCTTGCTTTCTTGTCAAAAAGGGAGGTCCCTCTTGTTGCCTAGTCTTGTCCTTCCATTTCCGCGTCGTTCTTTTCCCTCAGATCTAAAATCCCATTCGAAGCTTTTTCCAGTTTCATAGTATGTCGTAGTAGTCTAAGAACACCATCTTTGGATACTACGAGACTGTGGGCATATACAATCAGATAGAGCAAAGCCGACAACATGGGGTTCCAGGAAAATGGGAACGGCGAAATGGGGCTCTCTGGAATCCCCTTGGGTGCAAAGAACAAGTACAAGAGGATGCACTCCGAGCTTCATGAGGACTCCGACGATGTTTTGCACCAACAATATCAGCAAGATAGGAGGACTAGTACCAGGAATTATGTTCTTGCCTGTGCCGTCTTTGCTTCCCTCAACAATGTCCTTCTGGGCTATGGTAATATTATGCTATCATTCTCTTTGCCCAATTTTGCCCTTTTACCACTTCGATTTGGGTCTTGCTGCCGCCCCATTTATCATGTAGTACGGTATTCCATCTTCTTGATGTTTTTTTAATTTTTATCAAGCTTCTATTCCCCACATGTCTTTGTTATGTAGCCTATCCAGACCAATTCGGTTATATTTTATAAACAACCTATAGAAACCTCGCCATAGCCAAGACAATTTGCGGCAAAGAAGTACCCTTCTGATTCATCTGCGAATTTTATTGTCCAAGATAGCAGAAAATGAGAGTGTGAAAGAGATTTTCAATCCAACGTTTCCAGGCTTTGACTTTCTTCTACTTTTGCCTAATAGTGTATGAAATTGTCATAAAACATCATTTTTATTTCAAGCTCTATTTCTGATCCTGGTTTGGCTTCATGTATATAATATGTTGATAGAGTTGGTTTTTTCTCCTGATCTGCAGATGTAGGCGTCATGAGTGGAGCAATTATATTTATCAAAGAAGATCTGAAGATATCTGAGGTGAAAGTAGAATTTCTGGTTGGTATTCTGAGCATTGTTTCTCTTCTGGGTAGTCTGGGTGGTGGAAGAACATCTGATATTATCGGCAGAAAATGGACGATGGCCTTAGCTGCTGTTGTCTTTCAAACAGGCGCACTTATTATGACTCTAGCTCCTTCCTTTCCAATACTTCTGGTAGGAAGACTTTTAGCCGGTATCGGGATAGGTTTTGGAGTTATGATATCCCCAATATATATCGCCGAGATATCACCGAACGTCACTAGAGGCACTATGACTAGCTTCCCTGAGATTTTTATAAACGTTGGAATTTTGCTTGGCTATGTGTCAAATTATGCGTTCGCTGGCCTTTCACCGCACATAAATTGGAGGATAATGCTTGCTGTGGGAATACTGCCCTCAGTCTTCATCGGCTTTGCTCTCTTTGTCATTCCAGAGTCACCAAGGTGGTTGGTGATAAAGAACCGAATAGAAGAAGCAAGAGAAGTGCTGTTAAGGACAAATGAATATGAGAAAGAAGTGGAGGAGAGACTCGCAGAAATACAGCAGGCTGCTGAATTTGCTAATTCTGATCACGAGAAACCTGTGTGGCGTGAACTACTATCTCCTCCTCCTCCCCTTCGTCGGATGCTCGTTACCGGGATTGGTATTCAATGTTTTCAACAAATATCAGGAATAGATGCAACCGTGTACTACAGTCCTGAAATCTTCAAAGCAGCTGGTATTGAGGATAATGCAAAACTTTTAGCAGCTACTGTTGCTGTAGGTATAACAAAGACCATCTTTATATTGGTAGCCATCATTCTTATTGACAAACTTGGAAGGAAGCCCTTGCTCTACACAAGCACAATTGGCATGACAGTGTGCTTGTTCATCTTAGGGGTCAGTCTTTCTTTCATCGGAAAAGGATCACTTGTGATTGTGATGGCAATTCTCTTTGTCTGTGGGAATGTGGCTTTCTTTTCTATTGGATTAGGACCTGTTTGCTGGGTCGTGTCATCTGAGATCTTCCCTCTAAGAGTACGTGCTCAAGCATCAGCGCTTGGTGCTGTGGGTAATAGAATCTGCAGTGGCATTGTAGCTATGTCTTTTCTGTCTATTGCCAACGCAATTGGTTTTGGCGGAATATTCTTTCTGTTTGCTGTTATTTCTGCTATTGCTGTTGCCTTTGTCCACATGTTGGTCCCAGAGACAAAAGGAAAGTCACTGGAGCAGATAGAGTTGCTGTTTCAGAAGGAATATGAGGGGCAACGGAATGAAATGGAGCTAGGAGATGTTGAACAGCTTGTGCGGAACAAAACTGGTTCAACAAATTAATACTTTTTTCCCCCCAGCTGCAACTTTACGCACGGCATGGCCCTTTGATGGGCTTGAAAGAGGATGTGATATCATCAGATGTTATATTCAAGCATCTTCCATTCGCAATTCCGGCAAGAACTTTGCTGGATAGATGATCATCTGCAGACTGAGAATATTGAGTTTACAAGGGACAAAAAGAAACCTGAAAAGTGATCAACAAACTGCTATCTTTAGGCATACACAAACTTTTCCCAGTCGCACAATCATTTTTATTTCTTTGATCTACAAATATATCTATAATCGCTGTATATGTATTTGGCTTTAGGCGGATCTGTTGAGATGTTCTGTGACATATAATAGCAAAATAATTTGTACGTACTTCATTAAGGGATGAAATGAAAATTGATATTCTTTATATTATTCCTGATATATCGGTTTCTGCCACACTTTTTTGCTTCGTACCTGCATTGTGATCATTTGACGGAAAAAAGCTTATCTCTGTCTAAATTTAGACCTTGCTTTACACCAACCATAATCTGGATCTGCTATATCAGTTTCTAATATACTTTCCGTTTTGTATCACTTTGAGTGACTATTTTGTGACATCAAAGTATATTTCTTTAAAATTACAGTTTGACCTACACATTGCATATTTATAATCATAACCTGAATCTGGCATGGCTGCTTACTCCTGGAGTCATGTTGTGTTATTTCATTAACACTGTTAACTGAAAGTAAGCAACATCTCTGACCAGAGATCCGTATTCAACATGAGTCATCAATATTTCAAGTTGTGTTATTACCCATGTTTTGTGGGTTTCCTCAAACTAACTTCCCGAATTTATGATGCAGATGGAAGCACAATGCGTAACTTATTTACTTTTTTAATCTGAAATCTAGTCCTGCTTCAGATAACTCAGCTGGTAATAAACATTCTCATAGTCCTCTAAATTAAATCCATCTTCCAGGTGCATTGACCTGAGACTCATTATAAAAGCTGTTAGCGGGAAACGAGAAAGAAGGACAAGTCAATGGCTTCAATTGCAAAATCATTCAAGGCAGGGTTGTACTTTGTTCCTAATATTGTGTCATATAAATGGTGTTTTTTCCGCTGTATTTTAATGTTTCAGTTGTTATGGATTATCATTTTGATTCTTATGTCAGTCCAAAAACACTTCGCAGTCCTTTTCCAGTGTGTTGATACAGATTAATGTTTGCTTTGGCCGTCATCCTAGCGATGGACAGAAGCAACGTGGTGTGATTCAAATGGAATACCAGTCGTGCTTGCCATGTGCAAGCTTTTCACTTGCAAAGGAAAGGGCAATCTCAACAATCATATACCTTCACATCACACGAGGTTGGTCATTGGCGGCTCAGAGTTGTTGAAAATTATAGATCTACTACTTTTTTTGATAAATATTATATATCTGCTAATTACTATAATAGAGAACCGGTTAAATAATCTAAACTACTTAAAATGAAGATAAATAAATAAAAAATATACAATTTTTATTTTCTTTTGGGCTATTACTATTTTCATTATTTGAAATAGAGCAGCACAGTCCATAGAAATGGCAGGTGACTGTTTGCTTTTAAGTTTGCCTATGAAATATTTCAGGAGAATTTGACAGGTCCACCAACTGTTCATCAACATGTCAACGTTCCTTCATCTTAAAGGCAGGCATTTCTGTTGTTTCGTTTCTATGGGAAGGAACTTGAACTAAATTTCTCTGTTCATGGGCCACAGAGGTTTGATGAGCTATGAGCAGCAACTACATTTTGCTTCCAGAAAGATGAAATATGGTGATTAGTAACTTTCACAAGTTCACAAAATGAATCTGTGAGTTGGTGGTGCAGAGGCCAGGGTTCCTTTGAGACGACAGATATGCGAAGACTGAATACTAGGTTGATTAATGAGAAGTATACCTGAAATTTATAAAACATAATTGAGGGGTCTTCGAAGTATTTATTTTTGAGTCTTGGAGGTATAATATTGTTAAGGACCTGTAAGATTTCGTGTGGCTAATTATATTTCCTGATACTATTCTTAGAGCATAAACAGGCACAGAGAATGTTGGGGGTATGAGCAACGAACCAGTCCTCGTGGCGGTATCTCACAATGCGTATATATAACCAAGTTTGAATATTCAATTCTCTCCCACTCTCATCGTCGTTCGTTCAAAGGCTGAGACTCTCGATCCGATCTCAACGTTATCAGTTTCCGAGAAAATCCTCACTTTCTCTCCCGACACATCTATAGGTCACTCAGAAAAGAGAGATTTTGAATTTCAGAAATGGCGTCCTTCGACTCATTTGGTAACGACGGAGACGATCACCCACATCAATCGCCGCCGGTGCAACCCTTCGACGATGATGGCTATTCGGGCCTCGACCCGGGCCTCTCTTCTCAGCGTTACGAATCCACATATGCTGCTTCTGACGTCTTCAGCGAACCCCCACCTGCGAGCGAGTATGGCCCTTCCTCCGACCTCCACGGCCACCTCAGCATGGATGATGTCAACTATGGTGAGAACGTACATTCTGCAGATGCAGGCGGATTCGGGATTTCGACGCCCAACCAGGATTATGCGTCGCCGTTTGAACCGTCCGGGCTTGAGACGAATGGTCGTGGAAATGCATACGAAAATGGCAGCGATAAAATCTTCACTTCCGATGGTCCTTTACTTCCAGACCCGAGCCAAATGCAGGACGAAGGTTTTGCAAGACGCGAATGGCGACGGTGGGATTTCATGGATCTTATCATTGATCTTGTTTACTTTCTTTTTCCTTCTTCGATTTCTTGTCATGCTGGATCATGAACAGATTTTCAATGCTCACCGAATATTTCACTGCCCTATGAACCTTTAGTCATATGTTTTTGTGTCTTTTCCACAACGAAAGCCATAAATGAAAATTGTTTTATCTCGTACTCTTGTCATTCATTTTACATTTGTTAATGAATGTTTTGTTTTGTTTTTAGCGAGATCTCTTGTTACGGTTTTCCTTCCCCATCAACAGGCTTCCAATCTTACGGGTTGATAAACAGAACCTAACCGATTTATGTGGTTTTGTTGGGATGGGATAAATGGAGGTGAAAGAGCTGACACAAATGTTGGTCTGTCTGTAGATTGTAAAATCAAGAACCCTGTACTCAGGATGGTGTCTTTGACTTTAGAGACAAGACAGTTTTCATTTAGAAAATCATTTGACAATTTAGAAATTTTTGTTTGTAGCATAAACATTTTGAAGATTTAGTGATATTTTTTGCAGCGTAGTTCTTGCTCCCAATGTGTGGTCCCTTGTACTATAGGAAACTAGATGTCCAAGTGCTTATAATTAAACTTGATCTTTGTGGTAATGAAGATGGTATAATTTTCATACAAACCCTTTTTCTCTTGACATTGTATCTTATTCAAGGGATTTGCTTTTCTGACTGTACAATCTTCCTGGCTTTGGTTCCAGACAAAATGCAATACATCTTGAGGAAAAGGAGAAAAGAGAAAAAGAAATGCGGAATCAGATTATTAAAGAAGCTGAGGAATATAAGCAATCTTTCTATGAGAAGAGGAGACTCAATTGTGAGACAAACAAAGCCAACAACAGGGAAAAAGAGAAGGTAGAATTAGTAAAGTTGATTCCCGATTCCCTCTTCTGCACTGCTTGTCTTTATTCTTTCCATTTCTTCTTCTCTAAAGCATTAATTCATTGTGCATTCCCTTGCTGTTGTGCAAAATAATAACAATGAGTATCTGTGCAGTTATACTTGGCTAACCAAGAGAAATTTCACAAAGAAGCTCACAAACATTACTGGAAAGCAATAGCAGAAATCATTCCTCGTGAGGTCCCCAATATTGAGAAGAGAAGAGGTAAAAAAGAATCTGAGAGCAATAAGCCTTCCGTTGTCGTGATTCAGGGTCCAAAGCCTGGGAAACCTACTGATCTTTCAAGAATGCGCCAAATGATTTCCAAGCTTAAACAGAACCCTCCTCCTCACATGATGCCACCCAAAGAAGGCAAGGATGGTAAAGATGCAAAAGATGCCAAAGAAGGTAAGGATGATAAAGCAGTCAAAGATGGGAATGATAAAAAAGAAGCAAAGCAAGGTAAAAGCTCTACGCCAACTGCATCTGGGGCTGCTGTAGAAACTAAACCTGCTTCTCCCGCCAAAGGTGGGGCTGCTAATGGTGCCACTAATGTGCTTAAACCAGATGTTGCTGCTGTAGTTGAGGGTGAGCAAACCATCGTGGGTTCTGAACCAGAAGCTGCTCAGTGACGAAGCAACTATATTTTTGTTAGTAATTCTTGTTTTTAACAAGCACATATATATATACTTTCTAATTTTCTAAATTCCGTGCTGATGTTAATGGAGAATAAGCAGATAGCCATTTGCATATTCTTCAGGCTTTGCAGCATGGCCTGCAAAGCTTAATTCCAATCTGTGGTCGGAGATTCATAGGCTTTAGACGCAATTTTGTTTTCGCTGTCTTTTTTCTTTGACATTTATAATCAAAGCGATCTTTCTCTTCACTTTCCCTTCTCTGCGTACAGCTTTTTCTTGTTTTTTTTCCCTTCTTGAATAAATTCTTTTCCCCTTTTAATTTGACGTGGTCTTGGTGCGTCTTACTTTTTTACATCACGACCCATGAAAAATATATTATAATTTATAACCAATTGGCAATTACTAGAAACTTATTTAAGATTTTCCGATTCAAACTGTGGGTTTAGATGATTCGAAGGTTATTTATGACTATTTTCTGCTTGCGGATTTAGGTCACTTGCTACTAAGATTACAAGATGCCCAATGATGCGATCCTACATCAAGATTTTATAACAAACTAGAGAAACTATATTTGATTAGGGTAGTGTTTGGATAAAAACCAAACCATAGTTTCAGAAGTGCTTTTACGGATTACGAAGTAAATATGTGGAGGAGGTTACCTCGTTTTGCGGAAAAGTGCTTCTGAAACCACGGTTTTGGAGCACCCAAACAAAGCCTAGATTAAAGGTGGTAGAGGTGGTGCTCATCGCTGGTCCAAAAAAAAAGAATATATTTACTCATCAGAAAAATTTTTTCTTGAGAAAATTGTAAAATAGACCATAAAAATTACAAAATTGTAAATTAAGACCTGTTATAACAGTTTTATAAGTTTTGATGGAAAATACATTTAAAAAAAATACCTGATTTGCCATGTTACAATTTTTTTAAAATCTTTTGTGATTTTCCCTTCTTTCTTCTCTCTTTATGATTATTTTGGCATTGTTTTAGTTGGAATATTTTTTGAGTAGAAGGTGTCAAAGTGGTTCAACTGATGGAGTTTCTTTTCCTGACGCTCCACCTTTACTGCGAAACACCGCCTTATTAATCGCGAAGAGGAGGATTTAAGGATGTAAACTATTCTCAAGCAACAAAAATGGATTCCAAGAAGGATAAGAAGCGAAAAACAAAAAACGAATTTTGTTCCGAAGGTCTACCTCTTTTCAAAATTTCCCCCCGCAGGACCTGAATTTGTGTTTCATAAAATTATAGAGAAGTTTAGTGAATCTGAGTTCAGATTCATTAATCCTAAGAAAACATACGAGTAAGCTTGCGTTTTTGGTGACTGATTCGAGAGTCACACTTTGCTTTCCGCCTTAGGAAATCAGACTCCTGAATTTTCTATTGCTGAAACTGCTTTCCTTCAAACGTCTGTCCAAATTGCCAGTTTGCTGGGGCAACATTGTAAGATGTGAGTGTTCTTCCACCAATGATGGTCACCTCAAAGGACAGAGGTTGTCGTTGAAGATCGACACTGCAATGCCAGTTTTGTCCCCAGTTCCTGGCCATGGGTATCCACCCTGTTCTTGATCCCTTCACCTTCACAGCAACTACCTCACCATCCAACCCTACGTTGGTAATTAGGACTTGGTAGAAGTGGGAATTACCTGTCATTGTAAATTTCAGGCCACCACTTCTTTGACACTTCACTCTGCACACAGCATTTACAGAACAAGTCATCCCATAAGCCCAGCAGGATTCTCAAACAATAAGAAAGTTATTGTCATAAATCTTCATTACTGAATCACCTTTCTTTTGGGTTTACCTTCTATACTGAATCGGCACTATATCAGCTTTTCTCTTGGCAATCTCAGCAAATGCTGCTTCTGACATCTCAAAATGCTCCTTCGGAAAATTGCACCAGCCACCATAATCTGCTGAAAGTCCATAGTTTGGAGGGCAGAAATCTGTAGCAGTAAGAATCACAGACGGGCTTCCTATCAAGCACCACAAGATGTGGTTTACACATCGGATTTCATAACAAGCCCCACAGGTACTCCCTCTGCTGAACAGGATAGTGCTCAACCCAGCACTATATCTCCCATAACTAGCCTTGTGAAGGTCTCCATAACCACAAGCTCCTTCTGCAACACAAGTACCAGTACATTTTCAAAACTGGGTTTTGTTTTTACTGATGGTCAGACTAGAAAGAGCAAGAAAACTAGAAGAACCTGTAATGAGCGACCCATCTCTGTCTTTGGAGTATGTTGCCGTTGCAGACTTCCATTCTCCTTCCTTGTTAGCTGAAATCTTCCATGAATGTAGTAAAATCAAGTAGAATAGTGTGGACTGAAGAGTACCCATCTGAGACAATAAGCTATGAACCTGATTATTACTTTAAACTGGAAATACTCGAACTCTCGTTTGGTTCTGCTTTTGTCTTGTGTGGGGCCGAAAGTGGACCAAATAGTGAATAAAAGCCGTGTTTTTTCTGGCTGCAAATTATGTTGATCCTCCTGCTAAAAGATAAAGATAGAAGCTTTGACATTTTTCATTTACGAAGTGATTAGTTTCAAACTGTGGGACGTTCAGCCAGGCCGAGATATAAGGTCATTTGGTGCATATTCCGAGGCCCGAGGCCCGAGACAAACGCAAGACGCGAGCTCCTTCATTTTGTTTCGCACCTTTTCTTCATTTTCTCTTCTTTTTAGGCGGGAAATGGATACTCCAAAAGGAGGTTTAGGCGGGGCCGCAATTGTTTGGATGTGTTCGAGAGAGAAGGGTTTAGGGCTTTGTTCCTGTGGCAGACACAGAAAGCGGAAAGCTGCACTTTATTAATCATTCTGTTTCATATGACTTGCAGGATTTTAATGACTTGATTTTCTTTTTGTTAGTGTGCTTTTTGGATTTCTTGACGCTTAAGATTGCTAGCCGGCATTTTAATTAAGCTTCAAGGAACCTAAAATTCTAATCTGCATTTGTTTCTGTAATCGAAACCTGTAATTCGGTGGCTAAAAAACGAAAAAACAAACAGGTATTACACCGTAAACTGTAAAGCAAAGAAAGAAATAGTAGAAATCAAAAACTGGAGAGTCTTGGTGGAAGTAGAACCAAGACCACTTTGTTTCCCAAAATAATTAATAATGACTGGGTCACTCAAAAACTTTAATATTATAATAATACAAAATATTACTAGCATACATTGGTAATAAATAGTACTACTTCCGACTCTAATTATAGGATTCAATTGACTAATTTGGAGAGATTAAGAAACTTAGTTAAGTTAGTTATTTATAATGAATAGATGTTTTTTCCCTAAAATATCATTGCTAATCAAATTTGTTATCTAGAATTATTATTATTAGAAGGATTATCTTGGAAAAAATAGATAAATATGATAGAAAAAATATATTGGGGTCTTATATTTATGATCAAAATAAAAATCAAACAAGGTCTTATATTAAGGACAGGAGGTAGTAATCAAAATAAAAATTTAGATATATGTAAATAACAACTTAATTAAATGTAAATAACCACTTGGGTTGCGGTAAAAAACACAACTTAATTTTTTTAAGTAAAAATTTAATTTAATGTAAATAACAACTTAATTTAATATAAAAGACCAACTTGCCTTGTGGTAAGTAAATAAACATTTAGGTATAAGTAAATAAAAACCTGCAAATAAAAACAAACATTTAGGTATCACAAAAAAAAAAGAATTAACCATTTTTTATAGTTAATTGGCATCCAACAAGACTTTAATGTGACAAATCTGTCAAAGCAACCAAAAATGGCTTGGGCTCATTTGGGCAAGATACCCCGAAGATCCTGAAGCTTTTCAAATCTAGTTGGGCTTCAGCGCCAAAAGCACATGTTTAGCTGGTTTCATAGTGCTAATTTGGCTGGTCTCCTCGCCAATGATTAGGATTTAGTACTTAGGAGCATTTGTTCCTAATTGTTTGTTATATTTTTATAATCAAAAGGATGAAACCACTTAGGAGCAGTTGTTTCAAATTTACAATTTTTCACTTACAAAAAACTCATAAAGGCGACACACGCAGGGCAAAGAAAATTCAAAGGGAGAAGATTGCATAGTTAGATAGAGGGGTTTGGATACAAGAGACGCAAGTTAGTGGGTGTTTGAATTAACTTTTTAAAAGTAATTTCACGACATACTGAAATAAGTGAGTGAAAAAAATTTTGTTTCGACTTACATGAGAAGACTTTTTTTAAATACTTTTTGGGTAAACCATACTCCCCTATCTTATTTCTTCTCATTTTTTCGTCTAAGATTCCCTTCATGTCTATTTTTAAAAAAAGAGAATCCAATAATCCAATTAAAGACATTATTCAATAAAATTCACTTATTTGTCTCCATCCTTGAAGTAACTTTTATAAAATATTTAAATAAAAATATTTTAAACTTTTTTTTTACTAAAATGCTATATTAACTTACATATAAATTACTTTTTTTAAAAAAATTATATTTCTTTGTCAGTAAATCTATCATAATAATAATAATTAAAAACATATTTAAATTAATGGCAAGCATTTTAACAAAAAAATTAAAGTAATATCAAACTGATAACTTTTAATTTCAAATTATGAAAATAAACATTCTGGGCTTTGGATTCTTTGTTGCGCCCGAATTTATAAAATGCTCAGCTTAGGTGTATTAGGGAGGAATAAATTCATCATAAATACAATAAAAGTGTAACACTAACATAAATCTTTTAATTTTACAACTGCAGTTGACTCTTTATGGTTCAAAACTGCTTTAAATCTGAATAAGAAATTTATATAGTGTTAACAATACTAAAAAAATATTTGCATAAATTGCTGCAAATTCAAACATATGATTTCATCATAGTCGTCGGGCTAAACTGTTACTTAAGCAAGAGAGTAAATTCTATGAGAAGTAACATGATAGTCATTATGGGTTCTAACCCCTCTTCAACATGGTAGTTAGAAAATCAGTTACTCGCACCAGTGTAGATCAGTCCCACTATATACAACGAAAAGCAAATAGTCTTAACATCCCAAAAAGAACTAGAGCAGCTATGATTAGAAGTTTTACAAATCCCAATCTTAAAAAGTGTCTCCTGCCAATCAAAATCTCTTGCGGGTAGCACCCTTTGCGAAGATGGGATTCTCCAGGTACTTTTGTTATGAACACAATTTTAAAGAGAAAGTTTAATCCCAAAAATCTAGCTTATTAGATTCATAAATCATACTGCACTTGTGAGGCTTCTTGGACTCTTAACAAGAATCATCCACAGTATGATTCTGAACGAGGACCCTGTTTTTCCTTGTAATATGATAACTGGGCATCTTAAAAAGCATGACACGTGTGGTAGTCTCTGGTTATCAGAGTCACAGCATTCCTGTGTCCACCAGTCACCATCCTTATCAGCCTTCTTGATGACGCTTTCAAGTTTCAACTGCTCTGAACCCCACAAGGATCATATGATTACCCCATACTTCATTAAATTGCATATATGATTAAAGCCTACCGCTTGAAACACTCAATTAACACTTCCTCTCTGTTGGCTTAGTTTCGTTGTTGAGAAGCCACCAGCTTACATAATTGCAGGATTAACTGTATATGATGGTTAGCTCAGCTGATTTGAAGCTCCTTTCTTAATACTCTTTGGTTAAAAAGAAGAGATTCCAGTTCAAGGAAAGCAATTAAAGCAAAGAATGATCAGTAAGCAAGGACCCACTATGCAGAGCTTGTCCCTCCATCAACAAGATAAAGTCCATTACACATATTAAAAGCTTCAAACTTCATTAATTATATAGGACCAGTAGTACAATTGCACGCACATTCACTATCATACGGCTCTCTCTCCTCTTTGGAGAGGGCTACTTCTACTACGAAAAAAGGTAGGTACACAAGCAGCAGAAGAGTAAAAGCGAAACAAGAAGAAGGCAAATTAATACACCATTGGAAGCTACTCACTTATATGGACTTCCGCGGCAACTTTTCTGACAAAAACAGACAGAAGAAAAGAAACACTTGTCTTTACTTGTTACGAGTATTTCCTTTTAGGAATTAAGATGTTTATTGAGTGCTAATGGTGGAAGAAGTTGAGACGAGATGTGTAAGTGGCTCTTGGAGTCCAGTTGCTAGGGATAACATCTCTGGCAGAAAGTGCTTTCCCAGTGGATGTGCTTACTTTCACAGAGAAGGGTCCCCTCAATGGTCCTCCAATAATGTTCCAATTTGCGCCCCAGAGATGATTCATCTGAAGCCACTCACTTGACCCTGCCTGTCCATACCAATATCGCAAATCAGTCTCATTATTTAATTTGTAACCAGCAAAACTGGGTTTTGGTCACGAGTATAGAATGCCATTATCCAGGACCTACCAAACAGAAATTATATACGGATTGGCCCCATGATCACATGCTTTGAGTTCATTATATGCAGGGAAAAACGGGGTGTGTTATTTCAAAAAGAGAATTTTTTACTTGCTGCTTATAATGAGAAGACAAATAGACATGCTTTTTAGCAATATTAATTTACCCGTAATATATTTACTATCTTCTGTATTTGCCGAACTTGAATTTTTAAAATCTTTGAAAATATGGAATGAAAGTGGTGGGCAGTGGCATGTGATGAAAGGATACAAGTCCGCGATAGTTGGAATTGTTTAATGGCAACATGCATTATAAGATAACTAGGCATGCCCCTGTAGCCTTTTTAGTGGATAGAATAATATACGAGTGACCGTAATGCTTTAGTGCACGTTCAGGCAAGTTTCTTTGAGTCAAGTATGCAAACACTTTCTAACAGTTTTGTGAAGATGGAATATTCTATCTGTTTCTGCGCTATAGTTTAAGAGATCAAATGTACATTCTGGCTGACATAATACTCCCCCCACAAAAAGAATGTTATCACTTTCTTATTTGTCATGTTAGAAATTTTCTAAGCCCAAGTTTAGGCTGTAACGGCATCTGATTCTCTCTGAGACACCTGAAGTTCTTTTCTTTATTCTGAATGATTTTGGATTTTAAAAGGAAATGCGAACTAATTACCGAAACTTAATTGTAAAAGTGACCAAGATTATGAAGATGCTCACTTCTTGAATATGCATAGAGCCAATGTCTCCGTCTCCATCCTCAAACTCTACCAACAGTGATAGCCAAAAAGGTGTGGATCCTTCATTAACATGGAAAGCAATGTTTCTACCAGGATATTTACATGGTGTCCTGAAATTAAAAAAGAAAAAGAAAAAGAATCCATTAATATCTACAGTACCAAAAAAAAAGTTGAGTTAAACTTTATTATTCCCTATAAAAGAAGGCAGGCTTCACATAAAAAGCCCAGAAAATGTACCCAATACTACAGGATTTTCCAGTTACTATGAGAAAACTTACGTAATAAATGTGTTGATAGGATTTTCCAGTGATGAATTACTGATTGGCCAAACTAGTTAGGTTATTTTCATTAGTACGTGCATATAAAAATAACGAACTCGATCAAGTGATACAGAGAGCATTAAAATAAGAGTTGAGAACTGAAACAGCAGACTTTAGATTACCGAATATGACGTAAAATACAAAGAACAAACACCAAACTTTTGGCCAACAGATAAAAGAAACAGGCAATGATACATACCTTCGGTAAACGACTGGGATTTGACCACGGTCTCTAAGCTGGGAGTTCTCGCCGGCAAGAGCCATGCGGCCAAATGCTGCGCCACTGAGGTCGAAGTGGGTCCGGTCGGAGGGGCAGCCTGGGCACTCGTCGGTGATTATCACCGTCACGGCTCGCTTCGAGCATATGCTCTTGTCCAAGCATTTCACCTTGTAGCAGGCTCCGCACCCCTCTCCGTTCATGTACAGCACGGGACCCACTGCCCCAACTCGTGCCTTCATCGGCTTCACGTCGACCAACGACCCGTATCCACATGCCCCACCTTCACATCCACACATTCAAGTGCAACCCGCTGAGTCAACTCACAGCCTTACTTAAAAATAATCTTCAACTTATATATATATATATATATAGTTCGGAACGAAGGTACTTACCGTTACTTCCGTCTCCTTCGGGGTCACCGTACCAGGTGGCCGTCCCGGGGTGCCAATGCCGGTCTAAAACCGGGTGCTGAAGCTGCCCTGAGCGTTTACCAGCAAAACATGAATCAACAATGAGATGAAGATCACGTCGGAGCTACGGTGGCGCTGCATTGTGCAATGGGGCGGAATGGGGAGGCGCGCCACCACAGTTTCAGAGCTCTGGTCAGCGCAGAACCCAATAAAGAAGAAGAAGAAGGACAGCTGGGGGGATTGCCGACAGTTTGATGGCGGCAGAGAGGCTTGCTGTTTTAGACCGTTAAGGGGTCTTCGGGGGATCTTATAATATGACGCTGGGTCAGGCGGAAACTTTTTATCACTTCTCAATCCCTTGGTTTGGGAATTATTTGCAGAAAATGCCCCTGAGTTGGGTCCCATCGGTAGTTAAGGCGTTAATTTCGCATGTGCGCGAGTGTGTGTTACTGTTCTGTACGTCGGAGGTAGAAGGGTGTGTTTGTCATTTCAGGCTAAGGAGAATCTGTCCTGCCGTTATTCTCGTTTTTTAATGAAACGGTCGAATCCGGGAATAAGATAGAAACGCTCTAAAAAACGACATCGATTCACACTCCCGGCAAGAAAACGCGGTTCATTATGTCGACTTATTTCCTTCCATATTCTTTTCATCAACCTTCCTCCATCAATATTAATTAATAAATATATAATAAGCCGTCCCAATCCTATTCATAGATTTTAAATCACATAATTGATTATTCAAACGTCATTTAATGTACGAAATAATGTTTATGTTTTTTATATAAAAATAATATCTAACCTCTAATTTTGTATATCAATTTCTTGCTTCCAATCATTAATGATTAATTTATAGATTTTTCTTCTTTTGATTGTCTTGCCTTGCATTTGTTCAGAAGGGAAAATTTTCCAAAACCACGAAAGCTTTCCTACATTTCGACAAATACATGTGCTTTTTTCATTAATCAATTTTGGTTCAATAATTGACAATATGACAAAAACACATGGGGGCATTTTTTATTTTTCTGACATATAAAAAAGAGGCACCAAAGAAAGCATCAAGTGAGTTGATTTACATGTCTATAATTGAGAAAATTACGGATGAGTTTCTGAATTATTGGGTATAGTGTCCTTATCTATCACGCAAGCACTTTCATAGCTTTTTTGTATTTATGCATAATGGTGGGCTATCCCCTGTTATAGAAACAAATTCAAATTTGCATTACAGCAGCTTTACGTATTATTATTATGTTATAGGAAAAGGTAAGTGCCATTATGCAAACCAGACTAACATAAATAAAGTAAAACTAGCAGAGTCAAATACTCAAATTTTTGTGTTTCTTCTAATGTTTGATCCGTTAGTTTTTCATTCAATATTCTTCAGAAGGAGATATGTAGAGAGGGATGTGAGAAGACAGAGATAGATAGGTGAATGATGTAATTCATACTGTACGTTTGGTTATACAGAAAGGGAAAGGATTTGGTTAAAACTTAAAACAATGGAAACAAGGTAGTTACATTTCCTCCTTTGGTTAAAATAAAGTGAAGGAATTTTCTCTTCCTTTCCTTTCCATTCATCTCCTTCGAATTGAGAAAATTTGGGGAAATAATTAAAATCTCTTCACTTCCCTCACTTTCGCTCCTATCCCAAAAATACCTCCCCTCATCTTTCCTACAATAGAATCTCTTTCATCCCCGTGAACCAAACACTATATTTCCTCCTCTTCAAAATATAAACTAAACTTTGTTAAAGAGATTTGGTTTTTATAAGATAACATTTACTTTTGTCTAGGTATTAAATGAGTTTTTTACAATTTTATCCCCATACATTCTCTTTCCTCTTTGATTCATTTATTGCATCTTTTACTTATTTTCTTCATTAATAATGGTATATCTGAAAAAAAATACATGGTTTACATATTTATTGTTTCAAACTGATTTTAACTAGTTTTTTTATAAACATAAATGGATAAAGTTTAGCTTATATTTTGAATCGAAAAGAGTACTAAAGAATTATTGAGATCAGACTTGTGAGCCCTCCAGTGTAATTTTCCCTTGCATTTGTTTATTATTCTGTTATATCATATATGTAATCAATAACACTGTAAAAATTTTGGATCTTGGTCGTTATATTTCAATGCCGGGGATGAACTGTTCAGAAATATGCAGTCTTAGCCTGCCAGAAGAGAGGGGAGGGTACGTTTGTGATAGATCCAAGGCCGACAGGTGTGGAAGCTAGGTTTGACTATCTAGGTAGCCAAGTAATTATTGATTGTTATCATGGAAAGTGGAAAACAAGTACTACTACTTGCTACTACAAATTTCTTAGACACGGTTTTCTGTAACTTCTAAAGAAATGATCTTCGTTTTGATTTTCCCTGCATGCTTCCAGAAAAACGAACGAGACAAATAAGTCGCCGGCAGACGACCTTTCGCTGAACTAGACCCAGCAATTCGTTTTCTAATTCATAATTAATTTCAAATTAGCAGGAACGTAATGTCTTTTATATTGAATATACAATTTTTATACGTTATCATTACATAACATTCCCACCAACTCACACTTCCTATTATTAATTAACTCACCCGCTTGATGATGATATATATTCTCGGGTTCCTTGATTACCGGAGAAGTAGTTGCTATGCAAATCTGGAAGAAGCACACAGCTTTTGAAAATGAAGCATCAAAGTAAGTGAAACTAAGAAACTCAATGGAGGAAAAAAGATTTTGTTTGACGAGAACATGTGCTTTTGAGACAGGCATATGAATTATGAGTAGTCTTTCTCGCTTTTGTATGGTTTTGCCGCTTAACTGTCTATGGTAGACAAAATGAAAGTTTTCACACACGTATGCACTTCTTGAGGTGCACATAGTTTAATGTGATCTTAATATTTTATTCTAATACTCTGTGAGTCAGAAGGGCATGCCGAAGCAGTATTACTTTAATGCTGCTAAAAAAGTGGTCTGGATCATATGTTTAATAAAGTATGGTTGAAGTGGTAGTTAAAGCAGCTTTTTCAAGGCATGTGACTGCGAAGTGTGAATCCATTCGGCAGACAGGATTAGATATGTTCCAAAAACGACGAATAAGACATAACCGGGAAGCCATTTCAAGATGGATCTAATTATTAAAATTTCGAAATAGATAAAACTGCGTTAATTGTAAATGCTAATCTAAGATAAGTCATTGGTAGGTGCTCTCATATGGATTCAAATCGATTATCCAATTTCTTGTAATCCCAAAGTGTTAGTTGATATAACGATATTTATGTTGCTTGGTATTTTTGCTCAAACTTGAGTCTTGCTTTTGGTAAAGCGAAGTTGAAAAGAAAAGGCCAGCTTGTACAAGCTTCCCTTGTTATCTCCCTTCTCCATCACTATGGAAGCTTTCAATTGACTTTACGGGTTGTCCAGACCACATTCTGTGTTTTCGATTCATTCTCCACTTGAGTTGGCTAGCCTCACAGGTGCCCAGAGGCATGATACCAATCACATTTCTTTTAAAAAGCAAAACGAATGAAATATCTGTAAGGTGATCGACTAGCTCAAGTATTCACGTGGGTGCTTCAAGCAGATATCATACTCTTCAATCTTTGGTCATAATGGGAACATGAATTGCCACCAAGTAATTCAAAGAATATTTATTCACGTGTTGATCTGACATCCAGCTATGAGCTATATTGCTTTCAACAGAAGGTGCAGGGAGATATTAAGAGGTTCGGGACTTTATTCACTACAAGACACTGATCAATACAATGCAATAAAGAGCATGTTATATGCCATGAGTATGGTGTAAGAGATTCCTTATAAGGTGAGATAGTTTGGTTTTCCCCAATCGATTCAATAGCTGTTCCATTTCCAGCTGATGGTCTGAAAGAGACTTGTTTTGCCTTTCTGTAACAAACTCCAAATGCTGGGCTGATGGGCTCCAACTGAACAAGATTATGACAATTTAAGGAAGAAGGAAACAGTCAAATAAGGGAATCACAGTAGGCACCAAATGGCTTAATGTGCCAACAAAAAACTAGAATTAAACTTGAGTAAACCTACGTATAATTCCCATTATGTCTTTTAAATTTCTGTTCATTGCACAATTGATTTATTTATTTTTTAGTGTTGGACAATCATGGAAATATGCTTCATCAACAAGATATATAGGTTACCGCAAATAATATGGAAACCCACAGTAGCAAATGCCTTAGGCGCATATTGGCCCCAGGGTGTTCTACTTTCTCAAGTTATTCGTACAGTATTTGAACTCAATGCACACCATAACAACAACAACAACAATCATCCTCGTCTTCCTATATTAGTTAGGACATAAGCAGCAGAAGTTTAAAATTTTTATATTGGTTATATTGTTACATCTTACAAATAAGTTTCTAGGCACTTAAGAGATTGAGTTTTTCACGTATTAAGTAGCATCTTCAAGATGCGGTCAGATATGAAATCATTTTCCAAACTTCTAGTAATTTATCTATTGATCCAGACTCAAAGACAAGTGGCGCCAAGTTAAATCTAATATAAACAAATCTAAAATGAAGTTGCTGAACCTTGAACAAATCAATCCTGGTCAATCAAGAAACTAAATCAATTATACCTTGTTACTAATCTTTACATTCTTCTCATCATCTTTTCGATCCATATCCAGGATCAACAACAACATAAGGAGGTGGATAAGCAGGATTATTCAGGAGTGGAGCTCTTTCTGGAGCATATTCATCATCACTGTCATAACACTGATGAGGTCCGAGAGCTTTGAGTATCATTGCCAGTAATAAGGAAAGCCCCTGCATGCAGAAGACGCAGGCAGCTATCTATTGTTAGATTGAATTAAAAAAAATCATTCTCAAGTTTTAAAGTTGATCATAAACAAAGGTAACCAAGTACAAAATGAAATATACTAGAGCTGATCATGTACAGCACTGACAATCATACAGATAACAGAAATGAGAGACACAATGTTAATTTCCATTTCTTTTGGCAATTAATTGTATGCAGTCACACACTTCAATTTCTTAATCATGAATCTATGTATCCAAGTAACTAAAATCCAAGCAGAACAAACCAAGCACAATAAAAGATAGCATAACTTCTATGAGGAACAATAGAGCAGTGGGGCTTCAACTTTCTAAATTTATATCAAAGACATGCAAATTCATCTCTATCTTAAATGACAAAATAGTAAAAAACTTTAAACCACCAATTTTAAGCTTCTGCTAGTTGAATGAGCATATATTATACAGTAAACAAGTTGACTACATAGTTAGAAATTCTGCAATAAAGACTCACCAAGTGTCACAATCTAAAGGGCAGGAGAGTAAGCAAGAGTGCAAGACAAGGACAGAGATATTTACCTGTACAATAACAATTGACAGGCCTACCCATTTGCACATTTCAAAGTTTGACTTGAGAAAATTCTTGAACCGATCCAAATTTCCCACCGGATCCTTTGGAAAGTCCTGATTTCAATTTTGAAGCCAAAAAGATCATAACACATGAGGCCAATAAAAAAGAAAAAGAAGAGATCATAACATGGCATAAATCAAACTAATACAAACATTGAATAAAAACCCATATAAAACTACTGAAACAACAAAACACGCTATCAAGAAATGCTTGTCATGACAAACCTTCTCCCAGTCCCGGTTTAGAAGTACATCAACAGTAACTGCAGCCTCTAGCATGAGGAGTATGAGGATAAACAACATATACTGTTATGAGTTAAGAAGAACAGGAAAATAACAACATCATGTGCTCATTCTATGAGTAAAAAATTAGCCAGATTACTGATGAAATATATGTCTTCTAGTAATTGAACAAAGTATTGCTTAGTAATTTTCTTCTTTACTCAAAAGTTCCCCAGGTATTTGCTACCAAGTTTTTTTATTAAAAAAACATAAAATAGAAAAACTGTTTTTTGAAGCAATCAATCCTATGGGGGTGAGCTTAAAACAATATACACGTCTTACATATTTATTGGAGAAGCAAATAGTGTAGGTATAAAAAAACACCACTTATGTTCTGTCCAATACATATATAAACTCAGCATCAGCTGCTCTAAATTTTCAAGTATCCAAGGTGTCAAATGTTGGAAACCATCATAAGCTATGAAGGTGATATCAACAGAAAAGTTTATATTTGACAGGGAAAAGTGAAGGAACAAATATAAGTTGACAAGAAAGAGTAAGATCCTGAAAACTTTATTGTGGAGGAAAAGCCCAAGCTCTAAAGTGATTCTTAAAGTAGGGATGAGTGAAAGTAGCAGTCATATCCTTGACTAATAATTTCACGAAAAGGATACCAAGTAAAGGCAACATCCATTGGCAGTTTCAGCAGCGACATGACCACTGCAAGTGATCACACAGAAAGCAACTCCAAGGCCCAGGAACGTGTAAATGAACCTGATTGAAAAGAATATTTCATTCTTGATGAGTCAATATGAACTAGAAATCTAAGATCCATATCCTACCCAGTCCCAGCACTCCTATTCAATCAGTTAAACGTATTACTAAACTCAGCAAAATTATTAGTGCTCTTTCCTCCAGTTACCCCCGGGAAGTGAATAACAAAGCGAACATGGGATTCAAGTTATTCAATAATTGCTTGAACACGCGAAATGTTAAGGAAAGTAATTTATGTGAATTAATTAAATCAGACAAATTTTCTGTCCCAAACAACATCAAGGTCCAAACACGGAAATTTGTTTTCTTCTGCCCCCGGTTATCTATCATTTGATCAAACGGTGATAATACCAGAAGAAGGCCTTAATTCTCCTCTTTACTCCGCTAGAAGCGCCTTGAACAAGAAGAAAAAGAGACGACGAAAAAGACAAAATTCCTACCAGGGAGCAGGGTAATCAGAATCTCCACCAAACGGAAGCTCGCCTGTCTCCCTCTGCCAATACCTAATCATCCATACAGCATATAGAATCATGGCTAACCCAGCCATTCCAATGACCGAGTTCACCAGCTTCAATATCGATTGAATGCAGCTCCTCACCACATTCGCCATTTTGTTCCCGAAATTCAATTCGTCAGAATCAGAAAAGAACCTCAACTTCCCCGTATGAAAAATAAAATTTACAATGAACAATCAACGAAACCCCTGATCAAATTTAGGGCTCCGTTGCTTAACACAGAAGGCGAAAGAGGTTTTGGCGGTTTGCAATTATCTCAACGAATTTATGGTCCCGAAATTTAGTAATTATGACGTCATGCTCCAAAGTTTGCTTGAGATTAAACAAGCATCCACTTAGTTTTGGCACGCCGAGGGAACAACAAGGTTGCTGTGGTGTAGTGGTTATCACGTTAGTCTTACACACTAAAGGTCCCCAGTTCGATCCTGGGCAGCAACAATTAGTTTGTTTTTCGAAAAAATTTTTCGCCAAACACTCTAAAAACGCCGGCCAAAAAAAGAGAAAGTGTTATAGTGGGTTTGTTTTTCTGGTTTAAACGGACTTGTGCCAAATCTAATTTGTCAATTCTCGTATTGCTTCGAAGTTCTTCCCAAAGCACATTTGAGATTAAAAATTGCTAATTTGCTATCCAAACAGACTCAGTCGAAGAAATAGTTCCCCGGGGGGGGGGGGGACACAGAAGTATGCTTTTCATATGTCCAACGAATGTTAAACATGGGTATGAAAATTTCTTCTTCAATATTGACTAAAATCCTCAAAAATTCAGCATTCAGAAAATTACAACAGAGCTAGTAAAAAGTAAAAACTACAATAGAAAGTGCTTAATTAGCCAGTGCGTTAATTGGCGTCGTCCAAATCCAAGTACATTCTATAAGCATTTCGATCAGAGGAGTAGTACCCTTCGATCAAAGCGTCGACCTGGAAGCCTCGCTTCTTGTAAAGTGTCAAGGCTGGAGTCCTCGTGGGATCAACATGAAGCAATATGCGAGCGACTTTCCTTGTTCTGCATTTCTCTATTGCTGCCTTTAGCAGAATCTCCCCATGGCCTTGCCTCCTCCATTGCTCCTTCACTAGTAAAACCACAATATGGTAATACCCAGGTCAGGAAATTGTGCCGGTGAGGCCAGATGAATATCTATATTTACATATAATATACAAAATCCAATAAAGCACGATGACTTGCTATGTAAAGTTTCGACATTTTTTAGTTGTGTATTTTCATCAAACGCCTTATGGTCGTGAACCAGGCTGAAACAACAATGCAAAACCCAACATGAAAAGTAGAAAACTCGATATAGGAAGAGGAAGTTGAAACCTGCCAGCTTTGTGATAGAGGCGTACAAGGAAGAAGGCCACGAATACATGACATAGCCTATAATTTCTCCATCCACGTCAAGGTAAAGCAATCCAGAGTTCTTCTTTCTCAGTTCTTGGTCAAAGAACGTAGCAAGTGATTCATGTTTGGGAAATATTTTTCTCTCCAATTTCACAATCTCCGCCACTATCTTATCCCAGTCGCCGGAGTTACTATGAAGCTCTACAATGGCACTTGGCGCCATGAATGGTTCACCTAGATGACCGTTCGTTAGTGAGTTTTCAGTTCACTTTCTACAAAACGAGCATTTTAAGCCCTCTCCACCGCGTATTATATATGCAATGGATGGATGTACAATAAGTAAAATGAATTAGATTAATTGTGTGTAATATATTAATAAAGATAAAATATAATTACCCCACCACTATCCGAGTATCTGACCTCTCCCAGAGTCTCTCTGCTTGGTTGCCTTTGACATGAGTCTCCCCCCGGACATGAGAAAGAATCCCGTGTCACCAAGTTTCAAGAGATTCAGATTCCCCCTCTACCATGTAACGAAGGGTGAGCCATCAAGGTTTGAGAATCTGCCATGGTTTTCGTCATCCGCAGGGAAGTTCTGCGTTTGAAATGCTGGACATGAAAACGTAGGAGGAGGCTGAAGACTGCGGCTCTTGGCTTCTCTGTGGAAGTCACGAGCTCTGGTGGCCCGCCTGAGGAGGAGCGATTGGAAGAGGAGAAAAAGAAAGGTTCTTCGATTACTGCGGTATGGATCCTGCTGATTATCCTTTTCCTTCCTTTCCGTTGGATACTGGACGGATGGATTCGGCGTGGGTCCCATGGATTGTGTATCCTTCCTAATCCTTTCCTTTCGCTGCAATTTAAGTATAACAAGTACAGAATCCTTCAGTTATTTGTTCTTATTTATCCCCGCTGCCCTTTTTAGTGGGGAGGTTGTCTATCGTTGAACGAAGGTAAGATGTCATCGATGCGATGGCCACTTCTATATTCTTCACCGCCGTCTTCACGGAGCACTAAATTCGTCAGACACTTTACTAAACCGCTTCACTGCTCTCTGTTCTCCACTAATCAGCTCACTTGTTCCTTACAACCCAGATGCGGTGCCACTCTCAGCTATCGCCCTTCTTTCAAGATCTCCTGCAAAAGAAGTAAAGCCACTCAAGAGGACGGGCTTCCTCAGGTAAATAGGAAAAATAAAGTCTAGCTTCTTATTTTGTCTGATTCTTCACTTGCTGCTACTCTCATTTGAATGTGATTAATAAGCTCTACGCACCAAAGTTGGTGTATTTTGGTGTTGTTTAGCATTCTCATGTGCAGAATTATCAAAATATGTCGGCTTATTCGTTATTCCATATTGTAATAGGGATTCTCGGTATTGCCAGGGGACAGTCCATGGGAGGGTGGGATCCTTTGGAGCACTTTTGCTTTCTACGTGTTCAGCGTGCATGTTCCTTTGAGTTTTGGAGGGTTACCTGCGATTGCCTGGATAATGGGGAAGAATCGTCTTAGTCCACAAACTGAGGTGAGTTTTTTTGTCTGTTGCTTTCCTAGTTACTGATCAGGAATTATCTCCCTAACTTTTATTGAGAAAGAAGAAATGAATGAAAAATGAGTTGCTTTTAAGTTTTTCTATATGTCATCTATTTGCGTCTCTTGTTAGTGTTCATACCCACTGTTCTCCTCTTGTTTGGATTGCTACATTCATTTCATGATTTGACAGTGAATTTGTCATTTGTTTGTGCTGGTAAGAGTTTGGATTCACACTTATCACATGGATAGGGCCATAACCAGCTATGCGACTGAGTTTGCTCGGCTCAATTTCATATAGCATGTTGAAGGTGACTTCATTTTTAAACACAATGACGGTCATCAGTATAGTGTACACTTGTTTAAGTATTCACTGCAACTTCTGTTCATTGTCTGATGCAAAATGCTAGAGATGGTCTTCAACCTTTATATATTTAGCTTCGGATTCTGAACTTTAATTTTGATATCAAATTTCTGAATATATTTCGAACACATATTCTAACGACTCCTTCGAAATTCACCGATGCAGATCCTAGGAATTCTTTTTATTCAAATCCTCGAGCTTAATGGAGCATTATTTTTACTGAAGTACATGGCTAAGCCGCAATATAAGCTTCCAAATTTCTTCAAAAGTAGCGGATTAGTTGACAGGAATTGGGTTTTGGCATCAGCAGTGGGATTCGGAGTTCTTGTGCTTCTGCTTTATCTACTATCACTCATTGAAAGCAAGTTATTTGGCCCCACGGTTAGTCGTGTTTGTCTTTTGCTTTGCATTTTACTTCTGCAGAGTCAATTATGAATCATCTTCCACATTTGTTAACAATCCTCCTCTCATTGCTATGGTACTACCTCCGGTCCTATTTATAAGAGTTAGTTGATTGATTTGAGAAGATTAAGGAAGTAAGTTGAGTTAGTTATTTGTCCTAAATAAGTGTTGTATTTCCTAAAATATCCTTACTAATCAAGCGTATTAGCTAGAATTACTATTGTTAGAATGACTACTTTGAAAAAATATATATAAATATAAGAGACAAAGTGGATTGAGATCTTATATTTAGGATCAAAATAAAAGTCAAATAAGATCTTATATTAAGGACCAGAGGTAGTATCTGCGAATGTTAGAGTTGAACTCTGTTCATAAATATCCATAGTCTTCTATTTCTATGTGGCATCTAACACGCTAGTAAGGGGAAAACTTGTTAAATTATGTATCTGCTTTGTAAGTATATGGATATAAGTAAGATCTTGTATCAAACTGACATGTTCCATTTGATAATGGAAAGAGTGCTTTTGAAAAAAATAACCAGAAATTAATTATTGATTAGCATATTGCTTAGTTGTGAAAGACTGAAAGCCTTGTCTTCTGAATCTTAAACAATTGCCCAGTTGGCAGTTCTTGAAGATTCTCATGCATTCCTGTAATGTTAAATAGTTCACTTCAAATTGTGTCATTGAATTTTAAAATGAAAATAACAACATTCTGACTAAACACACTGAAAATTATCATTTCCTCCTGCTACACTTGTTTATTGAAAATGCCAGCGAAGCTGAGGACTTAGTGATAGCCAGCCATTAAGACAGATTCGAAGTCCGTATAGTGAATGAAATTTGTGGAGACCTAAATATGTTTCGTAGGAATTATCGTTTGAAGTTATGAGAAATTTGTTGTTAGTGCAGCCTGTGAGCAGCCCCGTATTGAAGGAGATCCTCTTAAGCAGTGATGTCTCGAGAGTAGCCAGCGTCATGTTTTACTGTATTGTCTGTCCCCTTCTGGAGGAAATTGTTTACAGAGGGTTTATGCTAACATCACTTTCCCCCACCATGGGATGGCTAAAAGCAGTTGCTCTGAGTTCAGCCATTTTCGGTGCAATTCACTTCTCTGTTGGGAGCTTTCTGCATTTGTTCACTGTTGGCTGTGTCCTTGGCTGCTCCTATTGCTGGACTGGGAATTTGAAGTCTCCCTTTCTCATACATTCCTTGTACAATGCTTTAACTTTGATGATATCCTATTTGTATTAAACACAGATTTCTTTTTCTATTTTTTTTTTCAAATTCAAAATGATAAATAAAGAATGCTGTATGGACTTCACGTGATTGTTTACTTTGTTTATGTTCATCTTTCCACCTAACTTTGGTTACTTTTCTGAACTAACCATTGTTCTATAATGTTTGTATTTGAACTAACACCCTCCTTTCAATCCACGTTAAGTTTAAAGATTATAATAATCGTCATCACGACAATTGAAGCAAAGTACCTCAATCTCATTACTGTAATTCTCCTGTGCAAGACTATTAATTTTTTCAGACCATGTGCTGCTTTTTAAACTCACATTTCATCCTGGACTGTTTATAAGACGGGCTTCTCTAATTTAAGATGAATTTAAAAAAGAAAATAAATGATTATCAAGTAAAATCAACAAAATATACGCAATATTCTTTTATAGAAATTATAACTTTATTTTTATCAATACCTTTTACTAAGATTTAAAAAGTTCTAAATTAGTATTCTGAGGAAAATATGATTTTTTTATAACAAGTGTGAATTTTGTAAAATAAATTCTCCTATTTAAGAGTAAGATTATTATGAACACCCAAACGCCCTGGTGGGGAGGGGAGTTAACCTGGTTACGCAATCCCAATGAAGGTGGGGGGTGAGAATTGAGGACAAATCCAATAAACTTTTGAGCATCTTACGTTCAAAATTCGAATCTTGATGTCTTGTCCGTCTCTCCGGTCAACTAATAAGATATTTCTCCATCATCACCGTCCGTTATAATTACTTTATTTCTTAATTCAATGCAATGGCAGGTAGATAATTGATATTATCATAATATTCCTCGCTTCTAATGTAATCTCAAATTTCGGTTAAGATTAGTTGTCTTTCTCGATTCCCATTTTCCTTCTTCCCTCTAAATTTCCCCCCCTTTCTCTCGTTCTCTCTCCCTCGAAACCCCTTTCGATTTCAAATTCTCTGCTGGAAATGGAGATGGCAATGGAGGATTCGCTCTCGCATGAGGTTCTCTCTATGGATCTTCAGGCGTTCCCCGGAGATGGAAGAGCCCGGCGATTACCCAATAATTTAATACCGTGTACGATCCGAATATGTGCTTTGGCAGTGGCCTGCTAAGGTTCTATCTCCAAGGTTTCTGTGTTTATTTTTCCCATAGGTATTTCGTTGTTCGCTGTTCCTGCCTACTCCTGATTCCGACTGTTGGATAATTCCTTCACTAGTTCTCGGTTTATTCGTTTCTGAATTGATACTGTTCGTCTGATTATGTTTGTGTAAACTTGGATATTAGTAACTACCGTGTCGACAGGAAGTGTGCTTTTGCAGAATTTAGAATTTCTTTAATTATATCGTGGAACTTGGATTCCCTAGGGTTTAGAACCCGGCATACAATTTCACTTGTCTGTAACAGTAATCTCGAAATTACTTTAGGCTTGAGTGAAATTGTTGCTGGATTTGCATCTTCTTCAGTGTGCCTTGGGTCTTGAGGTTTGAATGTGAACTTTTGGTCGGGAAGTTTGAATGGCTGGAAAGTTGGAATTAGGGTTTCCAAAGGCTAGTGCTTGTAGTCTAAGGGAGCAACTCGCTAGGAAGATATTACATACTGTGAGATCCCAAGGGCATCCTTATGTTGACCTACGTGAAAATGGGAAAAAATTCATATATTTCTGCACCCTTTGTCTTGCTCCCTGTTACAGTGATACTGCACTGTTTGATCACTTGAAAGGTAATCTTCACATGGAGAGGCTATCTACTGCTAAAGTTACCCTTCTAGGACCTAATCCGTGGCCTTTTAATGATGGCATTGTCTTCTTTGACACCTCAATTAAAAATGATGACGACTTGCCAAATACGAATTCTAAGCAAAAGAGACTGTTGGAATATACTAACAACGACAACAATCTTGCTATTGTGAAGTTTGGTGAAAATCTGAATTCCTGTGATGACAATCATGCTGAGGTTGATGAAGTTAATTGTGGCATAAAGTACTTAGAGTCAGGTGCAGTTCATTCAGATCTTCAACTAAGTTCAACCAATGATGCAGTGAATGAGGATTGCACTCTTGTGATTCCTCATGCACTGATTGGCGACAAAACTTCTGACTTACAAGCTAGAGAGGTTGGTTTGGCCAAGATTGCTGCAAGGTTCTTTGAGAAGGATGGTGGTTTGAATGGGATTAGAAGAATATGGTGTGAATGGTTAGGAAAAGATACTGATGGTCATCTAGTTGGTTCTGTGGTTCCAGAGCACAATTTTGCTATAATTATTTTCTCTTACCATTCTGATTTGGGTCGGAATGGATCACTAGAGGAGTTAAAGTCCTTGTTACCATCTACTTCTATGACAGAACCAGAGAATGAGAGCAGCAGCAGTCAAAAGAGAAAGAAATCATTTTCTGATCCTGAGGATATTAGTGATTCTTTGAGCAATCAGTATGATTCATCAGTGGAAGACTCTTCAGCTTCTAACAGTGCCACCTCAAGATTGGCCCTGGGTCAAATTGACAATCAACTTCTCCAAACCAGGTTCATTTCAAGCAAGGCTTTAAGGAAAGAATTGAGACGGCAGCAGCGATTAGCGGCAGAGAAAATGTGTGATATCTGTAAACAAAAATGCTTCCTGGTAAAGATGTAGCAACACTTTTTAATTCGAAGACCAGGAGACTAGCTTGCAGTAGTCGGAATAGCACTGGGGTAAGACATTTTGCTAATCTGTCATTCATGTTTCTGATATCAAGCTTGATTGAAAGTTTGGTATTCAAACATTATCTCTCTAAATTTGGAAAAGGAATTTCATTTCACGATTATTACTTGCAGGCGTTTCACTTGTTTCATGCATCCTGCCTTGTACACTGGATACTGATGTGTGAATTTGACATGATCACCAGTCGTGTTGCCTTTCCAAAAGTCAGAAGAAAAACCAAGAGAAAGATGGGAGCAAATGTTAATCAAAATGGAAAAGACTATGATATGAAAGCTGCTAGAGGGAAAATAAATTCTGTGTTCTGTCCAGAGTGCCAGGGTACAGGTATCATCATTGAGGGGGATCAAGTGGAGCATGCACCTTTTTCTTTGTCTGAGGTTTGCTCATTTTACGACTCCCTCTCTTCTCTCACCCCAATTTATATCTTAGTTTTCTTCTGTTTCTTTGAAGCATTTGGATTTTTTTTTGGGCCTCAGCCCTTTCGTTTATTTTTATGGGAGACCAGTTAGCATCGAGGCAAATGTTCATTTGGAATTTATGATGCACTGTATCTTTTTGGTGTTTTGGCAGATGTTCAAATTAAAAATAAAGGCATGTGATGCACGTAGAGAATGGATAAAAAGTCCTGAACTTTTGCAGAATTGCTCGACTGGATTTCACTTTCCTGCACAATCTGAGGAAATAGGCCAGGTGCTCAAATATGTGCTTATAGTTTCATAAAGATGAAAATCAATATTGCATTATTAACATAATCTATTATGATCGATTTGCTTATATAGGAAAAAGTGAAGCCCATAAAATTGCTGCACTTCTATCGTGCTGATGAGAGAAGTTAGACACAGAAACACGATAGCCGTGGAATCTTAGCAATCGGCATTTTCAAATCTATCCCACATGAT